CAGGCTCTGCAGGTAACCAGGCGAGCCTGGACTCCCCGTGTGTGGAGGTGCAGACAGAGGCAGTATGTATTCTAAGGCATACATACATACATACCTAGTAGAATGGCCAAAAAGAAATGTTTTGGATTCAAATGGAAAAAAATCCTATTACCAACTTAGGAGTGTCCAAATTTCCTGCAACTTGTCTTTAAGCCACTCTAGTTAGGTCAGAATTCTCTCAACTTCCAAGTATATAGCACAACCGAAACAAGTACATTTTTCCCCAAATCGTATTAATCTCCTAAACTTTTTTCTTTTCTTTTTGTAATCTCCTAAGTTCTTTATTTTTTTTTAATTTATAAAAAAGATTTTATTTATCTGACAGAGAGAGGCACAGCAAAAGAGGGAATACAAGCAGGGGGAGTGGGAGAGGGAGAAGCAGGCCTCCCGCTGAGCAGGGAGCCCGATGCGGGGCTCGATCGCAGGACCCTGAGATCATGACCTGAGCTAAAGCCAGACACTTAACTGACTGAGCCACCCAGGTGCCCTCTCCTAAGTTCTTTTTTTTTTTTTTTAAGATTTTATTTATTTATTAATGAGAGACAGAGAGAGAGAGAGAGAGGCAGAGGGAGAAGCAGGCTTCCCGCGCAGCAGGGAGCCCGATGTGGGACTCGATCCCAGGACCCTGGGATCATGACCTGAGCTGAAGGCAGACGCTTAACCATCTGAGCCACCCAGGCGCCCTCCTAAGTTCTTTAATGCAAAAAAACACCAACTAACAGAGTCACAGTTTTACCAAGGACGTCATGGTTTTCTGGTACCCATGATTGTTGAGACCATTTCCTCTTTAGCCTTTTAATACCTATAATTAGATCACCACAAATCCTCATATTCCTGATTTTCCTGAACCCTTTCTCCCATATTCCTATCTCCCGTACCCAAGTGACTTACGCCCACTGCCATGCACAGCTCCTTCTCTAACTCATCACCAGACAACAGAAGGCAAGCCTGCTGGGGCACTGGGGTGGGGGTGTGGAATGCTCATTGTCTAGTTCTGCTCCACCTGCTGTTGGCTGTGGGAATCTCACAACCACATCATAAACTGGAACTTGGGCCTTTTTAAAACCTATGGCCCTGTTGCTACCTAAGGGCCATGAGGTTTCTCTTTTTAAATAGGCTCCACACCCAGTGTGGGGCTTGAACTCACGACCCTGAGATCAAGAGTCCCATGCTCGGGGCGCCTGGGTGGCTCAGTAGTTAAGCATCTGCCTTCGGCTCAGGTCATGATCCCAGGGTCCTGGGATCGAGCCCCGCATTGGGCTCCCTGCTCAGCGGGAAGCCTGCTTCTCCCTCTCCCACTCCCCCTGCTTGTGTTCCCTCTCTCGCTGTGTCTCTGTCAAATAAATGAATAAAATCTTGAAAAAAAAAGGATCCCATGCTCTACCTACTGAGCCAGCCAGGCACCCCATTTTTAAATTTATTATTTTAAAGTAAGAGCCATAAAATTTTTCACCCCTCAGGCTGGCTCACCTCACGGGGGTGGAAGTCCCACCTTAATTGCTGATGTGGTCACATCTGGGCTTTGTGCTGTATTCTAACCTCTATTACAAAAAGTGGACTTATTTCCAGGTTTTGTTTTTTTTTTTATAAGATTTTATCTATTTGAGATAGAGCAAGAGAGAGAGCGCAAGAACAAGCGGGGGGAGTGGCAGGCAGAGGGAGAAACAGGCTCCCCGCTGAGCAGGAAGCCCGATGCGGGGCTTGATCGCCAAACCCTGGGAATATGACCTGAGCTGAAGGCAGACACTTAACCGACTGAGCCACCCAGGCGCCCCTTATTTCCAGTTTCTAACAGCAAACATATTTTTTGTTTTACCAGCAGTGGTAACCTCGGGCAAATTCCTTCATATTTTGAACAGCTCCATGATGTGTATTCTGACAGCACCTACCTCACAGGGCTGCTGTGAGGACTAAGTGGCTTTGTGCTCAGTCACCATTAGTGTGATTGTCTTGTGGGGACAGAAACTGCCCTAAGTCAAGACCAAAAGCTGTGTCCTCAGTACCCAAAACAGCCCAGGACAGGGACAGTGCTCTGTTGCCCCTGGAGACTACATGGAACATCCCTCCTCTAGACTTTGCTAGAATGTGCTATCTTCTCTTGTTCATTTTTAAAGATTTTTTTTTTTTTTTTTAGGATTTCATTTATTTGACACCGGCGGGGGGGCGGGGAGAGGGACACACACACACCACACAAGCAGGGGGAGCGGCAGGCCGAGGGAGAAGCAGGCTTCCCGTGGAGCAGGGAGCCTGATGCGGGGCTCGATCCCAGGACTCTGGGATCATGACCCGAGCCGAAGGCAGACACTTAACGACAGAGCCACCCAGGGGCCCCAGGAGTGACCCTTTAGCCCTGGGCCTTGCTGCCTCAGTGAAGACATTCACTAGTGATCAATTCCATCTTTGTCCCCCATGTTCTGGAGGCTCTGAGAGGGTAGAGCCCATGGATCTTTTGCACACCATTGTATGCCCAGGCCATGCACGGGGCTCAGCACCCCAGAGGGCCAGGGATGCAGCTGTGGAGTTCAGACTGGCATGTCTAGGGCCTCTCTGGCCTTGCCTGTCCTGTGCATGCTGTCCACAGCTCTGGAGCCTTAACCTCTGAGCTATCACTGAAGTTGCTCCCACTCTTGCCACCACAGGTGTGGAACCCCTCAATTCAGAACCCAAGCTCCATTTCCTGTCCTCAGTCCTTGGGATTAAACTCCACACACTCAGGTTTCTGTCTAGAGTCCTATCTTTGTAACCCCCGAGGCCCTGTGAGGCCACTCCCCACTCCCACCCAGGCTTCCTTATCTGCTTTGGAGGGACCCAGGGGGTTTTCTGAATGATGGACCCAGGGCCTCTGCAGGAGCTGTGGGGCATTCCCACCAGTTTACTCTGCCACTAACCCAGGATCTTTTTGTGGGGGGAATGGTATGGCCTGCAACCCAAGGACGGAGAGGAAAGTAAAAATAGGCAGGACATTCCACTTCTCTCCACAGATGCCCTCTCCTCAGAAAGCCAGACAGAGAAGGAAGGCAGAACAGAGGCCAGTGGGACCTTCACAGCTCTCTAGAGGAGGGGGCTGATCAATAGGAAGGCCCTCATTTGGTGCTCACTAGCCAGAATCCCCTGGGGTGTCGGCTCAGGAGGTTACCTGGATCCTTGGAAGGAAGACTCTACACAACTTTATAATCAGAAACTTTGTTTATTTTGAATAAACCACTCAACATTGAGCAGAGGATGTTGCCTCAACTTTTTCTTTGAAGAAAACAAAGATATTATGGTAAATTCATGAAAACACTGTGCCTTCCATTATCTTCTACCCTTTGTAGGGCAGAACAATTCTGCCTGACCTTTCCCATCTTCCTGATGTTACCGATGGACAGCCCCTGGGGGCACAGAACCTCCTGCAGCTCCAGTGATTGGGGCCACAGCTGGGTACAAGTGCACCACGTGGTAGCCGTGCAGTCCAAGAACTGCCCAGGATGCCCAGGGTGTGACTTATGGTGCAGAGTTGCAGCGCCCCTGCCATGGCGGTGACACGGAAAGGACTAATGGAGAGGTAAGGGCTCCAGACGCCAGGATCTTCCACGCGTCAACGCAGCATTGACACAGACCCCTAGGTCCTGCAGCAGGCAGGCTCCTCCTTCAGTGAGCTCCCCGCCGTTCAATTCTGGGCTCATGTGCTGCACCCCTAACTTGTTCTCCCACTCTACCCCACAGTCCCTCCCTTGCAGGTGACAGGAAGAGACAAAGCCTGGGTTGGGGCTAGGGGGAGACAGGGAGCCTGCAGCCAGCTGTGTACCCCATGATCCCAAAAATCACAGCTGTCCTCTGACTTCAAGAGTGATTCAGTTTACAGCTAACATGGTCCCTGGGAAATTGCTGACTGAGGTGAGAATGTCTGAGTATCAAAGAACTTCCACCGTAATATTCACAAATCTCCCAAGCAACTCCTCCAGGAGGTGAAGGAGGCCCTGTCCAATATAGACAGCTCTGCCAGCCTCAGAGTGGAGGCAGTGAACAAAGCCACAAAACCCCAGGAATCACAGATGTAACTTTTAAAAGGCACACAGGACCAGGTTCAGGACAGGCAGGACACCACACCAACCACCTGTTCCTTTGCACTCAACTGTGCAAAAGCTGGCCCTCTCCCCTGGCCAGCCCTTCTAGCATAGTAGCTGGAACCGCAAACCCAGGACCCTCCTGGCCTCAGACTTCCAGACCCCAGAGCAGCCACTCTGGAGGAGAACACACTCCTGATAACATGAAAACCACTTGTGCAAAGAAGGCCCCTGAGTCCGGAAGACCTGTGCCCTTGGGAGGGCCACGCTGAACTCTGACCCTGAAGTTCACCAGAGAATAGTGTAGCAGGACAGTGTCAGGTATGGACAGCCGTGTGTGAACCTAGTTAGTTATATTACTGGAACACTGGCACAAAAGAAGGGACCAAGGTAAAACAAATTTTTTCTGGGGAATAATTCCCTTTAAAAGTAGATCTCTATCTTTAGGAGACAAAAGGAAACACTGTGCTGAACCCATGTCCCCTGGTCTGGAGGGCCACAAGTCCACCTATGCTCTGCTGTGGGCTCTGGCCTCAGTGGCCAGACCCGGGTAAACCTGGAATAAAGATGAGCCCACAGACACACAGTGCCATCGGAGATAATAACATCCTGTGACAAGGCCCCTTTCTGTATTATCTCCTCCCTGCAAGGTAAGGCAGGTGCACTTGACCACAGAAGGGTCCCCCAAGGACCAGGCAGGAGGCATGATGTGACTGCCAGTGCCCCATGCCCGTTACACAGGCCAACTCAATTCCCCACCGTCCGCCACCCACACTCTTCCCGAGACACCAGCTGTGGCCAAACCCATGAGAATCTGGAAAACAGAGACCACCCTGGGGTCCTCCTGCAGGAGACATTCTGAGGCAGGATGGGCAGGCAGCATATGTTACATTCTAAGTAAGATAGCTAGAGGGTAAAACACTCCAATGCCAATTTATTTTTAAAAAGGGTTCTGTGTAATTCTATGGTTTGCCCTTTTTTTTTTTGTATAATTATACAACCTTTGAAAATTACATAAGTTGTAATGATCTAATACTATTAATAGTCATTCAGAAAAAACTTTCCCTCCCTCCCAACAACCATCCAGGGGGAATTAAAAGTCCTGAAAAGAGACCAATTCAACATGGCCTCTACCCTGGTAGAAACAAAAAGCGAAAAGATGAGAAGAAAACAGAAATGGACTAACAGGTGCGTGGCCGGTGTCTGTCAGGAGTGGGGCCCTGGCTGTTGCCTGAGGTGGTGAAAGGCAGAGCCTGCAGCATGCAGTTCCGCAGCCGGGAGGCCTCGCGGCCACATCCTCCTCACTCCAGCGCGTCTGTGTCACAATCTAGGTGTCATGGAAATCCTTCAGCAGGGTTCTCCTCCGCTGCTCTGCTATGTGCATCTGGTTCTCTAAGTCCTGCAGCAGGGAAGCAAGATGGTGCTTGCACAGCCCAGTCCCAAGAGCGTGGAACAGCCAAAGCCACCCCCACCACTGGCAGGGGCTTCAAGGGGTCAAGGCACTGCCCTTCCCACCCTGCTCTGCAGCAGCTTCCGGTCCACAGGCTAACAACCCTGTCACCTGTTAACAAGTCAGTTCTCCCTGGCCTGCAAGAGAGGGACCAAGAAGGGGGCAGGCACTCACCCCTCTGTCATAGCTGTCTGCACGCTCCACTTTCCACGACAGGTTTTCGATCTCAGCCTCCAGCTGAGCCTGCTGGTATTCAAACTGTATGGGCAGAGCAGGAGGGTCAAAAGGAGAGGGGCTGCAGCCGGGGCAGGGCCTGCAGATGGAGGGGCAGACGCAGCACCTCAGGCTCGCATGAGCTACAGACAACCCTGAGACTGTCCTCAGAGATGCAGTGCTAGCTCCTGCAGCCAGAGCCAGAACCCCAACAAAAGTCTACCTGAAGGGCGCCTGGGCGGCTCAGTTGTTACGCATCTGCCTTCGGCTCAGGTCATGATCCCAGGGTCCTGGGATCGAGCCCCACATCGGGCTCCCTGCTCAGCGGGAAGCCTGCTTCTCCCTCTCCCACTCCCCCTGCTCGTGTTCCCTCTCTTGCTCTCTGTCAAATAAATACATAAAATCTTTAAAAAAAAAAAAAAAAAAAAGGCTACCTGAAGAGTACAGCTAAGCAGCAAGGCCCCACTTACCCTCCACCCCGAAAGGGGGAAAATTTAAGCCACTGATGACAATATTCTCAACATACAGGGAAACAGAGGCTGCAAAAACAAGTCAAAATGGGTATTCACAGACATGGTATTCACTGAATACTTAATTTTTTCAGCCCTTCTGCAAATCAAGTCTTAAAAATATTCAAACCATTTGACTTAGTAATTGCACATCCGTTGTACAATTATACACAAAATGTTCCTCAACGTCTTACAGTAATGAAAAAGAGAAACAATAAACGCCCCAACTGATGGTACAACCATGTAACGAAACATTTATGCACATATTAAAAACAGTATTTACCAGCCTGGTAAATAAGGACAGCTGCAACAATAAACGGTTGTAACAGAATGTCATGTATATAATTAACATTAAATGTAGAAATAATTTTAAAAGGCTGAAAAATGCTAACAGTAGCCATGTCTTTCTGGTGGGATTATGGATGATGTAAATGTTTTTCTGTCTTCCAACATTTAAGCGATAAATGTGAATTACTTTATAATCAGGGGAAACAACCCATATCTAAGATAAAGAATTAAACAAAGATGCAAAAAAGTCCACTATCATTTAGGAACATGCATATTGGGTATCCTCCTAAAGCATGGGTGCTGGCCTCCCAAGAGCTTTTTAGCCAGTTGCCCTATAACTATGGCCATTCAGGGGCTTTGGTATATCTGCCTTGATATTAGACACAAAGCCAGGGCCTGAAGTCTATTTTAGAGATGGCTACAGGAGAACTGAACTTTTTTTTTTTTTAAAGAGAGAGAGCGAGCGAGCGCGTATGCACACAGGGGTCAAAAAATCTTAAGCAGGCTCCATGCTGAGCGTGGAGCAGGGCTCAATCTCACCACCCTGAGATCATAACCTGAGCCCAAACTAAGAGTCAGATGCTTAACTGACTGAGCCACCCAGGCGCCCCAGGAGAGCTAAACTTTTTAAAACTGACAGTTTTGTTTTGCCCTCCCAACAACCAGGGTCTGGTCCCCACTCTCTGGGAAAGTGCGGGTAGACAAGGGTACCTCTGAAGCTAAGAGGGCAGAGCAGAGGACCGCTTGGCCTTACCAGCTTCTTCCTGGGTCCAGACTCCATGTAGTAGGCGTACGGGTAAGTGTACTGCAGGGTGTACCGGCACTACAACAGAAGACAGAAGGCTGCATGTGCGAACCTAACCCACATACATCGCAGGCGGCTTTCACAATTCTTACCCTACCGTGCAGTTAGCCTGGCTCTACAGGTATGAGCTCGAAAGAAATGAGGCCAAGCCAAATCAAGGATGAACTGGGGGACAACATGGAAAAAGCTGAAACAGAAATGGTCACAGAACACCCCACAGTTCCTTTTTCAAATTGTGATTTATTACCAGCAGCTGCCTCAGTGGCTCTTCCCTCGGGTCGGACATCAGAGTCCACACACCTATCTCAATACTTGTCCAAAGACAATCTCTTAGTTTCTTTGGAGTGATGCGTGGATGGGACAAAAGAAGCAAAGGGCTCTAGTTTTCCCTGCAGTTCCTTCCCTATGGCTGAGGTAGTGGAATACTCTTCTTGGAAATCCCCTGGCAGCCAGCAGCAGGCTGGGTCGTCAGTGGGCACAGCCCAGGGAAATGTGGGCCCAGAAGCAGAAGCATGTAGACCGACACAGTGCTGTGTTCCCTTGCCCCGTACACTGCCTCCCACCCTCAGACGTCTGGGCCTGACAGGGCCAGGTGCTGGGCCAGGGGTCAGAAGGGGGAGGTGGTACAGACCTTGGCCAAGAGCTTGGCAGCATTCTGTAGGTACTGCCAGTCGATCCACGTCCCCAGATTATTCATGACTCTCTCCTGAATCTTTTCATGAATCCGCTGATATGTCTGTGCCTCCAGCTGCAAGCTCTTGTTGTGGTTTTCCCACTACAGGGTATAGAGAAAGGTACCCAAGTCCTGACAGAAGTTCAGAATAGACACCTCGGTTGGCACAGCATGGCCACAGCTTCATCTAACTTATGGGGACTGTGTGTCCTTGCAAGTGCAGGAGGAGGACTTCTTTTTTAAAGATTTATTTGAGAGAGAGAGAGCGCGCGCATGCAGGGCAGGGTGGAGGGGCAGAGGGAGACGGAGAAAAGCAGACTCCCTGCTGAGTGCAGAGCCCAATGTGGGCTGATCCCAGGGCCCTGAGATCCTGACCTGAGCTGAAATCACAAGTTGGCCGCCCAGTCGATGGAGCCATTCAAGTGCCCCAGGAAGGGAACTTCCTCAGTCCATACTACTAACCCTGTCCTAAGCAGTGGCCTGCCAGCCAGATCACTCTACCATCTAGGGCAACAGGGCTTCAGCCCTGAAGACTAAACAAAGCTAGGCACCCACTGGTCTACTGTGTTTAGAAAGCAAATGCGCCACCCTCTTTGGGCTTCTGAAGGGTCTTCCTGGGAGGAAGTGCCCTCTAAATTTGATTAAGATGGTACCAGATGGAAAAGACTATCTGATGGTCTCCTTATTGTTCTTTAATCCATCATTCAAACAGCACTGTTGGTCGTGGCTGCCCTATGGAGCCCGAAAGTCACATTTATGGAAGCATCACTCAGGCCCACTGCAGGAGCTCCTCTCCCTGACTTCTGTGTGCACGGACCGGCATACCAGTCCCTGGGAATTCTGCCTCAGCAGGCCAGTGGGAAGAAGCCCACTCATGAGGAGCAGCCGCAGGAGAAGATGCCTACCCTCTCAAAGTAGAACAAGTACTTCTTGAGGGCCTCCCTGGCCTGTGCTTGTTGGCTCTGGTTGACAATGTCGGGGTTCTCCTTGTACCGACTGCACTCGTAGTACTCGCTGCCATGGGTCTTCCAATCTCCTAGACACATCCAGCAGAAGTCTGCAAAGAATAGAAAATGAGGCATTTACACCCACAAGATAAGCCCGCATTCCTCCAACGGTAAAGCAGTGGGACAGACAGATCCTGTGAAAGGGGGGTGGGGGGGTTGTGACCTGACCAGAACTTCCTAAGGGTGCCTCTTTCCAGGAGAAAAGTGCACCTCTCCTCTTTGTCACATAACACTGTCCCTGTAGCCTTTCCTTGCCAATATGAATAGCCCCCTGTCCTAAGAAGATTTTGTACACAAAGCTGGGAATAAAGGCTTTCTGCTATTTTGTCATCTTTTTTTTAAAAGAACACTTCTATAAAACCAACAGCTACCCAATAGTTCCTCCTCAGAATTATGAGCCTGCTTCTACACCGAGGAAGTGAAGAGAGAAAAATAAAGATCCACCAAACATCTATAAATTACTGTGGTCTAATGGAGAGGGGCCAACCACAGTGCTGTTAGATGGCTACATCTCTATCCTGTCTGATCTATATCCTGTCTCTGACAAAGACCCTGACGGTGGGTAAACCCTGTTTCCCAGGATTCAAGTTGGCTCACTGACTTCTCCAAAGGATCTCATATAAAATTTGGGGAGACCCTCAGAGACCCAGAAGTCGTTCTCTTCTCCTGGGAGCCTTCACTAAACAGCGGCAATACCGCTATCTCCTTAATTAGCTAGGTGGTGCTTGCTACTGTCTTAAGTACTACTACACTGCTTAGGGTTGCCCGTATAGGTGGTCACTATACAGGAATGCAAGGGATGGCAGCTAACTCTGGGTGGTGAGGGATGGGGAGACTACGGGGAGGGACACACAGGGGACTTCTTGGGTGCAAGGAATATGATGGGTACCGGGATGTTCACTTGCCATTTCTCTTTAAACTGTATGCAAGTCTTATGCACTGTTCTAAGTGGATGATAACACGTCCCTCTCACTCAAACACACAAAGACAGAGTGGGATACCACAGAGGAAATATGCCACTACCCACGGCCTATCTTCATTCTACACTTCACTGCCACTGTTCCCCTCTAACACCTTGCCATGTCCATTCTGATTATGGTGGGCTCCTGGGAAAACACAGGAATACCATTAGATGGACCCTTACAAAGAGGAACCCTCAGGGCCTTCTGGTCAGCATTGAAGCTGCTGTGTAGGAGACCTGTCTGGACATACTTTCTACTTGAACAAATTTTATTTCTTTACTTCATCTGGCAGGAAGTAAAGCAAAACCAATAGGTTCCATGTAAGCTACTCCTGATGGACGAAGATGTAAAAGGCCAAATCAGAAGCCCTTGTGGAAACTTTGTAAAACCTCAAAGGAAGACTCTTCCGTTACTCCCTCCAATAAAACAGCCTGTTCTAAAAAGAAACCTGTAAGGTAGCACAGATAAACCCCACATTACTTACCTGCCTTGGCAAAAATAAAAAGAGCACACTAAAATCTTCTTGGATGACTGAGGATCATTAAGGTCTAAGAGTCATCCCAACCTTGACTTCTGACTATCTGTGTCAGCAAGATGGCAGTGAGATTGTAAGAGGCACCAGAAAGGAGTAAGTAAAAAATCAAGAGCTGCTTTAGGCTGGGTACTGTAAGTGACTGAGGCCACCCTTTGTCACTTCACTACAAAAGCACTCACTAAACAGTGGAGGCCCAGGCACAAGAAACGCAGACTGTGCCCCTGGGCCTTGTGTACCACACCTGGGACTCACCGTGTTTACACTTGGAGCATTGCTGTCAGAGGGAAACAGAAGAGAACATGTTAAGGGCAGGCTGACCAAAGGCTCCATGGCACATATGCAAAGGGTACGGGCTTCTGCTCACCATGTGATTGCAGCCTCCATTCTTCTCAATGCAGATGTTGCACTTGGGACACTGAGGAGACAGAAGGGCGCCATTAGGCTCACACACCACCAGGCCGGTTCTAAGACAAATTACACAAAGCTCCTGGCACCCGTGCCCAGTAGCTCATCGTGCGAGCCCTTGTGGGGAGGAGCATCTCACTTAAATGTGGCGGGTCGCTGAGGCTGGAACAGCAATTCAAGGAAATGAGATCAGCACATTTGGCTCTCAAACACTCCAAGCACCGGCTGAGCCCCACTAAGTCTTCCACCATCTGTCTCTGCCACGAGGCTGCTCAGATTAAGCACAAGCTGAGTCAGCACAAAGCCTTCCTGCTTGGGAAGAATGCCAAAGCAACACACGAGCTGCCACACTGGACCAAGTCCTGGTCAGCTTGCCTGGACTTCTGCTTCCACAAGAGGGCAAGGAAACAACCTCTAAAGCTCACTTGCTCTCATCTGAGAGATGCCCCAACCTCGGCAGCAATGCAGAGACCAGTCTGACGCTCTGCTCTCCCACTGCCACAAAGCAGACTATGTTTAATGAGGTCACGGTCATGGCTATGCTGTGAGTGCAGCAACTCAGCACATGACCAGCACAGGGTAGGTGCTGAGTCACCCAGGGCTCAAGGGGCTGAGGGCCACGTTTTCCCATGGGAAATTTCAGAATGAGAACTGGGCATGCCTGGGCTTGCATCAGAGCCTTGCTCTTTACTACATGTTGCTATCAACCACCTCCCTCCCAGGGCTGTTAAAGCCTGGGAGGCATTAAAAAAAAAACAGGTTTTCTTCTAATTAGTCACCATATGGGTCTAACCTTTCCAGGTAGTTCAGTATTTTATTAAAATAAATGCATCCAACACATGCTATGATAGTCCGCTGCAAACTCTGCCAAGTTTGGGCAAGGGTCTGCAGCCTCCAGCAAGGGCCCTGGGGCCCTGGGTGTTCTGCTCTCAATGGCCAGCCTCCTGGGTGAGGCCCTAGGCAGCATTAAGGAGGGCAGATCCATGACAGGTAAGATACAGTCCTTACGTCTTTAGTGTGAGCACTAATGTAGTTGGCTGTTTCAGAGTCGTCTGCACACTTCGTGAGCCATTTCCGGATTGTGGCGCAGTCTGTGGGGGCGTGATACATCTGACGACACTTGAAACTTAAAACCAGAAAAGAAAAACATTCAAATAATTGTTAGGTCAGGGACCATATTTTCAATTTTCCTTCTGTCCAAGCCAACAGATCCTGAATTAGAGTTTTTCAAAGAAGTCAAGTCACCTCTCAATGCCTTTGGGATCTTTACTTACCCAGGGCTATACCAAAATACTGTATGAATATCTCTTCAATCTAAGCACTTCTAAGACACACTCTTAATAAACCCAAATAAAATGCTTGTGTCTTAAATATCCTGCGTGGTGTTAACCCTCCCTTAAAGGATGTCAAATTCAGAGTTCAGTTTCTCAAAGGGCATGGCGAGGTGCTCTGAGACAGGTAACTCAGCTCAGACCCAAACAGAACCAAGATCCACTTTTTGGGAGCCTTGACTTGACTCCCAGCCAGATGTGCACAGGATGTACACATGACAGAACCTGTTCAGTCTGCAGGGCCAATACCTCTGACAATGCCTGAAACTTAAAATCAGAAAAGAAAACACTCCAACAACTCATCCGGCTAGGCTTCCATGTTTTTAATTTCCCTTTTGTCCAAGCTAACACAACGTCTGGATAGTAAAGACACTCAGGCAAACAGCCTAACACATGTCCCAGGGAAAGAAGTTCATAATGTGGGACAAAGGGGCAAATGGGTGGCTCGGTTGATTAAGTGTCTGCCTTCGGCTCAGGTCATGATCTCAGGGTCCTGGGATTGAGTCCCGTGTCGGGCTCTCTGCTCAGGAGGGAGCCTGCTTCTCCCCCTCCCTCTGCCTGTGCTCTCTGTCAAATAAAGAAATCTTAAAAAAAAAAAAATGTGGGACACAAAGGATGGAGAGCAACTACATTAGTGGTTCTTATTTATTTATTTATTTTTAAGGTAAGCTCCACGCCTAGCATGGAGCCCAACATGGGACTTGAACTCACGACCCTGACATCAAGACCAGAGCTGAAATCAAGAGTCGGACACTTAACTGACAGAGCCACCCAGGCACCCTTATGTTAGTGGTTTTTAATCTTTGGTGAGCCACAGACTCCCTTAACAATGGTTTGAAAGGCAAGAACACATGCACACACACCCCATTTTCCACGTAGTTTCTCTGAAGCCCCACCATGAATCATCTTAGGGAGGCATGATTAGGGACAGACACAGATGTGGACCTAAATTATGGCTCTGCCATTGCCTTCCATCTCCATTTCCTCCCCTATAACATGAGGGCAACAGTATCAATTGTACACAATTGTCACAATGTAGGTAAAGAGATGAGAATAGTGTCTTTCCCATGGTAAGTCTTCAGTACACTTTATCCCCGTATCTACTGAATGGAGCAACCCAAGTAGACGTAAACTACCTTTATGAATTGTAGTGTTATAAAAGTAGCCTACAAAGGCCAAGATGGAGAAAGATTCAAACGCCGAAGGTTGTAGCTTTCAAACACAGTAATATTCGATTATCTGTGCAGGCACACACATACCAACATAGACAATCTCTGTGCCATGAGTCTCAGAAGCACAAACCATAGCACATTCTCCAAGAATCTGTGCCACTTTTTGTTTCTAGACTGCGCATTATCAAACATCCCGTGGAACATGAGATGCTGGGTACACACCCTGCCCCTTCGGAGCAGAGCTGCTAGTTAGGCTCAAAGACCCTGTCTTTCCCAGCTCCACCCTCACCCACAGCAACAGCAGTGGTGCTTTGGAGGACTAGGCAGGTGCCCAGGGCTGCTCAGCACCCACACTCGCTCTTACCAGAACACCTCGTTGCACCGATTGCACTGTACTCGGCGAGCTCTAGGCTCCTGTACCCGAATAACCATGGGGCAGTCTGCACCAGGGCACAGCTGGAGCTGGTAATGACTCTGTGAACACACCAAGGGGAAACAATGAGGACATCCCCTAGTCACTGCTTCCAAATCAGACTTCCCTGCAGCTCAAACACCTTCTGTCCTTCCAGCCGATGACCTCTATCAAGGGGCTATAGGAATTCAGAAAGGATGTCACAAAGAACAGCATTAGGCAGATATTAAAGACCTATGAATGTTTAGCTAAAACTAGGTAGCAGCTCACTAGAATGATCTAAGGCTAGATTATAAAATGGAGTACAGAACTGTGACTGTGAGCTAAAAGTGCACAGGTCTGGAAAGGAACACAGCCCAATCAGCTGTGCATCTGAAAGTATTATTCTAAGTGAAATAAGACCGAGAAAGACAAGTGTCATATGATTTCACTTCTGGGCAGAATCTAAAAAACAAAATGAATAAACAAAACAAAACTCAAAGATACAGAGAATAGAAGGGGAAAGGGGTTATAGGGTGGGTGAAATGGGTGAAGGGGGTCGATTATATGGTGACAGATGGTAACTAGACTTACTTTGGTGACCACTTTGTAGCATATACAAATATTGAATTATTATGTTGTATACCTGAAACCAATATAATGTTACACACCAATTTTACCCAAAAACAAAAACAAAAGCTCTGAGAGGCTCAATGACCCTCACGCATGTACCAAAGGCAGCAAACAGCACAGGGAACAAGGCACTGTTTATCCCGCAGCCCATGTACGAGAAGATCCAGCCAGTTAGGCAATCTTGTAAGCTCAGGCACCATCAACGAAAATTATGAGAACTATGCTGCATGGAGGCTGCAAGCCTGAGTCAGGAGCCCAAAGGAGGGGAGGGAATCCAAAACTGACCACGCTGGAATCCTGGACAAGTTTTCAAATTGCACAAAAAGCAATACCCCTTCTCTGTGCTTTATAAATCACACAGTGAACCAAATGCAACAGCAACTCCTGAGATAGCCCTGACTTGTGTTCATTACCTGCCATACAATACACAGTTTAAGCAACTGTGCAGAAGGGGAGGAGGCCTGACCATTCTACCAGAGAAAACGAAGACTCAGAGAGGTCAAATAAAGGGTGGAAGGCTACACAGCGAGGAAGTAACAGACCTGGGATTCATGTCATTGTCAGCCTGACTCCAGGGCCTGTGTTCCTCACTACCACTCTAGTGGCTTCTCCACTTTGTAAAAGCCATGAGCTCTTTCTTCAAATTATAGCATCTAATGGCAGCCTTGTCTACAAAGTGACTGTGGTGAGCATGAGGTGGAAGGTAGGCCCAGGAAGACAGACGTGCAACTACAGGGGCTGGTCATACCTCCACATAGTCCCTAAAGAGGTAGCGCCTGTATTTGTCTCTCAATTCTTCATTGGGCAGCAATGGAAACACGAAGTCCTCTGGTGTTCGGAGTGGGCAGTCCTGAGCCATGCAAGAGACTCCTGTTGAACAAAGACAACATGACGGATAACTGCACTGCAGAAGACATGACAATAATATATTTCCCCACTGCGTTCACCCAACAAATTCAGATTCCACATAGAAAATGCCTGAAGCCACAGAATTTATTTTAAAGAGAGAGAGAGAGAAATTAATGTATTTGCAGTGACACAACTAAAATTTACCTCAAATTACATATATATCACAAATAGCACCACTAAAAAAGCAGTATCATCTAAAAAATCCTATATGGTTCTTGGGGCACCTGTCTGGGTCAGTTGGTAGAGGAGGCGACTCTTGATCTCAGGGACTTGAGTTCAAGCCCCCCATGGAGTGCAGAGATTAACTTAAAAAAAATCCTATATGGTTCTTGACTAACAATTTTGTTTTGTGACATTTAGTATTACGTGCAAGTGACTACCACCCAACACAATGAGATTCTGCAGATACTGTAAATGGGATGCTAATTGAGTTCTAATACCATCAAGTCATAGCATAACAAACACTCCTATAACCAATCACCAAATCTGATTTGTGTTATGCTACCTAAATAGCAGCAATCTCTGAGGGTTTCTGAGTTATAGCTACCACTTGGGGCATCAAGATAGGGTAGGTAGCTTAAAGGAGAGTTCTCCCAGAAGTTCACCTTGCACTCACACCAACATTTACATATATGCCCAAACAATAGCCTTAATCTTCTCATTTTGCTCAGGACTGGGGAAAATCTTGCCACTGTTCAGCCTGATGTGTTTGGAAACTAATGGTTCTGACAATAAAAACCCCAATCAGGCTCAGAAGAAAACACGCAGTTGACCTGAGTACCTGCAAGGGCAAAGCTGAAGATAAATACTTCATGCCAGCCTTTTACAAATTTTGCAGCAGACTCACCCACACCCACGCCGTCCTTGACAAGTACTGAGCAGTGCTGCTCCCAGCAGCTACGGCAAAACTGGTGCTGACAGGCCAGGGAAAGTAGGTTTTCCTTCCGCACAAACTGCATACACACTGCGCAGTGGTGAGGGGGGTGGGCCGTGGGAACCTGGGGAGAGGCAGATCCAAATGAGTGAAGAGGAACCTTCAGATCCTGGGAGGCCACAGGGGTGCCTGATGCAGCTAGGTGCATGGGAGGCGAGCCTGACCCTGCAACAAGTGCCAGAACTCAACTGCAATGTGTGGGCTCTGTGGGTCCCAAAAGTTCTCAACAGAAAGCACAGATCAGGAAGGCTTCCTGAAGGAGGTGGCACATGAGCTGGGCTTGCACAATCACTAGGATTCAGAGAGGCCGAGGAAGGCTGAAAGGAGAACTTACATTAGTTTATGATGTCAGGCTGAAAAACTCAGAATTTCCAAATTGCCAAAGGTCCTTAAAGGTCATTCAGTCCAAATTCTGCTTTTAGAGGCTACCGGGTTTCTTTTATGAACTGCCCCATTTGGTGTACAGAGCTGCTACTCAAGCTTCTAACAATACCACATTGCAGGTTTACTTGTCAAAGACAGTGCTTTTCCCATGGATATGCCCAAAACGCAAAACTTTACAGTTTTTACTAACTCACAACTCATCCTTAACACACTGCAGAGATGTAATATACAATTAATTTAGAGGGATGAGGAAGGCTCCTACTAGGGAAGAAACCTTTCAGGATGTGGGCAAATAACTGCAAAGCTTGAACTCCAGAATCCATGCCACGCTATACGAACTGGCAGACAAAGACAATGTGGGACCCCTGGCCCAAGCCACAAACTGACAGAGAAGTCCACTACGGGTTTACATTAGGTTCTGGTTAGTTCACCGGAAATACAAAAAACAATTGGAGGAAAAAGGCTATATTCTCATTTTTATCCAATGTGCTTCTGGAAATTTTCTCCTGAAAGCTACAAAGTTATGGGGTAATTTGAACCCTGATTCTCCCTCCTAAAGAGTGCTTTTGACATGGCCCTTACTCATTTGACAAATGTCTGTCAAACTCCTAAATACATAGGACATTGCTATGCATAGTAAGATATGGTTCCTAACCATAAAGCACACAGTCTGGTAGGGGAGATGAAAAAGATGAGTGACTCATTACATCACACAGGTAAAGACTTCAAGACATAACCAGACGTGTTTGGAGAGGAGAGATCACAGCCTTTGTGAGAGACAGCCTGATCTGGGTCTTTAAGGATGAGTTCCATTCCCACAAGCAAAGATGGGGATAGGGTCAGGACATTCCAGGCCAGGGCCGGCACAAGCAGTCGAAGAGGCATGTGGTGAGCTTGGGAACACCAAGGAACCCAGCAGGAATGGAGTACAGGCTGTGTGTAAAGAGGAAGGTGAGGCTGGAGAGGGCCCCAGGACTGGCAATGATTTATTCTTCATCCATGAGGAAACTCTTTAAACTAAAATGGAAATGGAAGATTTAGGCCCATATTGGAACAAAAATCTCAGGCATGTTGTACTATAAACAAAGCAAGATGGTTCTCAATAACACCATAAGCCACAGCAAGAGCCATGTGTGTCAGGAGAAGCCTTGCTCAAGTGGGAGATACTCACATGTTTCGAGGGACTGGGCTGAACTCGAGCCTCAACGAGCAGCTGAGCAGAATTAGACTTGTATCTATAAAACAAAAAGCAGAAATAAAGGGATTCAAAACGAAGACAAACGTTTTAACCTCTGAACAAAACCAGATGAGACCAACAAGTGCTGCGTTTGCACTAAAGTGTCTTTGTCTCTACCTTCTGACAGTACCAAGCTTCCTTTTACTTTGGTATAAATACTTTTCTCTTTCAATTTTTAAAAATATTTTATTTATTTATTTGACAGAGAGAGACACAGCGAGAGAGGGAACACAAGCAGGGGGAGTGGGAGAGGGAGAAGCAGGCTCCCCGCTGAGCAGGGAGCCCGATGCGGGGCTCGATCCCAGGACTCCAGGATCATGACCTGAGCCAAAGGCAGATGCTTAACCAACTAAGCCACCCAGGCGCCCCATCTCTTTCAATTTTTAGCCCTCAACTGGTATGAGAATAATAACCCTGATTCAAAGACACCAAACTGTAAGAAAAATACTTATGAAGGACCATGTTTGTTTTCAACTCCTTTCTGGAAATATCTGTGTCTTCAGAATAGGGAAGGATATCTTAAGACAAAGAATATGCAGGGGCACCTGGTTGGCTCAGTCGGTGGGTCCCTCTTGGGGGTTGTGGGTTCAAGCCCACGCTGGGTGTAGAGATTATTTAAATAAAAATTAAAAAAAAAATGCAAAGCAAAAGAGAAACTCTGACCAATTATGTTACATTGAAGAAGTTCAGGTCACCAGAACACCATAAAGTGAAAAGCCAGGCTATAAACGGAAGATAATTCAATACATATATAATTGGCAAAAGACTGATATTCAGAATAAACAAAAAGAAAACTTCCTCCAAGTCCATTTGAAAAGAAAGTAACAATAAAAAATGGGCAAAGACAGAGCAAGCATTTCACAGAAAAGAAAGCATGAATGGTCCTTAACAAGAAAAGATGCTCAACCTCCATAATAATCTGGGACACGATTATATGTCATTTATACCCAGCAGATTGTAAAACTTCAAGTCTGACAGCATCAGGAACACTCATATACCACTGGTAGGCATGTAACACGATACAATCACTTTGGAAACATTTTGCCATTTAGTAAAGCTAAGGAACAGATACTCTCAGTTTTTATACTCAACCGTAGAAAAATATATGACACTAGGAGTCATGCACAAGAGTTTTCAGTGCTGCATTATTTGTAACAGCAAAAAACAAAAACTCACAAATGGTTTTTGACAGGAATATGGATATCATAAAATGCAGCCTTGTTAATTTTAAAAGTTGAAGAACACATACAGCATGATTCCATGTCTGTTAAGTTCTAAAAACATACAAAACTAGGGGTACCTGGGTGGCTCAGCTGATTTAAGCATCTGACTCTTGATCTCAGCTCAGGTCTTGATCTCAACGGTCGTGAGTTCAAGCCCCGTGCTGGGCTCCATGCTGGGCATGGAGCCTACTTAAAAAAAAACAAAAACACAAAAATCATACAAAACTAAAGGATATATAATTTAAGAATAAGAAGTGGTGCCTAGGTGGCTCAATCGGTTAAGCGTCTGCCTTTGGCTCAGGTCATGATCCTGGGGTCCTGGGATCGAGCCCTGCATCAGGCTCCCTGCTTCTCTCTCTCCCTCTACTGCTCCCCCTGCTTGTACTCTCTCTCTAATAAATCAAATCTTTTTTTTTTTAAGATTTTATTTATTTGAGAGAGAGAGACGGAACACAAGCAGAGGGAGTGGGAGAGGGAGAAGCAGGCTTCCCGCTGGGCAGGGAACCTGACGCGGGGCTCGATCCCAGCACCCTGGGATCATGACCTGAGCCGAAGGCAGCTGCTTAACCAACTGAGCCACCCAGATGTCCCAATAAATAAATAAAATCTTAAAAAGAAAGAAAAAAAAAACAATAAATAAGAAAACGATCAATACCGAATTCAAGATACTGGTCACTCTGGAGGGGAAAGAAGGGGGTGTGGCCAAGCAGAGACTGCCATCAGAGGCTTCTGAATAAAGGTCAGAGGGTTTCTTATTTGGGCGGATACTTAAATATGTTTGTTTTATCATTCTTTAAAACCTACACACATCACACACGTGTGCACATACATATTTTGAAAAAGAAACATTTCATAATAAAAATTTAATTCCTTTCTGGAATGAGGTATGGAATACATACATTTAAAAATAAAAACAGGAGCGCCTGGGTGGCTCAGTCAGTTAAATGTCTGACTCTTGATTTTGGCCCAGGTCATGAGCTCAGGGTCCTGGGACAGAGCCCCGCATCAGGCTCTGTGGGGAGTCTGCTGGAGATTCTCTCTCCCTCTGCCCCTCCCCCATTCTAACACTCTCTCTAAAATAAATAATAAAGCTTAAAAAAATAATAAAAATAAAAACAATTACCACGTGGCAACAAAAGTGTCACACAAAGCCCAGGAAAACTCATTACTCAGAATCCAGGAAGCTGAGCAGGGAAGAATGTCTCATATATGTGACTTCCTTATTCCACCTAGTCAGAACGCCTCCTTCAACTGCTTTTATTCCTACTTCTCACACTAGTATTCTTAATATCCTTAGCCATCTTGTCTATCCCCAAGTTAGGCTACAGTTGGACAGTGAGAGATACCCCACTGCTGGAACCTACATGGGTCCCAATTCTGGGTAGTAGAAACAGCAGTGCAGACAGTGGAAGTTCACTTGAAAGTCTACCTAAATGTATTCGCCTCTTGAGGATACAGAGTGAAGAGTTCAGTTAGTGAAATCAGGAGCGTACTTGCTCCTTCCTGAGTGGGCTGAGCTGCTCCAGCAGGTACAGCCATCCCAGTTATGTTTAGCCTGGAGAAGGAAAGGCATGACCTTCCTTTGCAGATAAATGGATCACACCATACAAGGAAAGACTCTGGTGTGTGAAAGGGCAGGGATGTGCCCAGTGATTCTCACTAGTGGCAATTTTGTTCTCCAGGGGTTACTTGGAGACTTTATTTCAAAGGCTCGGGGTGCTAATTTCAGTGTCCCAGATTATGGAGGCTGACCATCTTTTCATGTTAATGGCTGTTCATACCTTCTTTTCTATGAAATGCTTGTTCTGTCTTTTGCTCACTTTTTATTATTTTGTCTTTTCAAATGGATTCTGCCAGAGATTCTGCCAAACCTTACAACTCACAGAACAGTGCCCCACAAAAAGAATTATCTAACCCCAGATGGCATGCATGCTGAGGGTGAGAAACCCTACGCTAGACAGAAGCACATGCCTCTGTACGCAGGGCATGGCGACTCTTCCCGGAGGGGGCAGCAGGAAGAGGAACCCCTCCTCCTGACAACTTCCAGGACATTCTGAGACTCCAAAGTCTGTGCCTCTAGAGATCTGGTTCTGGTGGTAAGCTGGCCTATCTTTTCTGAAGGTAATATTCAAAAGTATGTTGCATTCCTCACTTGATATATCCAAAAGAAACAAATGGAGATGTTAGCAAGTGTTATATAGAAGGGCACTGATTAGAAATTCATAACGGCGTAAAAAAAATTAACTAACTTCACTGACAACAGGGGTTTGGAAAAAAGCATGGGACACCTAGGGGTGCCTGGGCGGCTCAGTCGTTAGGTGTCTGCCTTCAGCTCAGGTCATGATCCCAGGGTCTTGGGATCGAGCCCTGCATCAGGCTCCCTGCTTTGGTGGGAAGCCTGCTTCTCCCTCTCCCACTCCCCCTGCTTGTGTTCCTCTCTCGCCGTGTCTCTCTCTGTCAAATAAATAAATAAAATCTTTAAAAAAGAAAAGTAAAAAAAAAAGGATGGGACATCTATACGATGAAATACTGAGCCAGCAATGAAACAGAGATAGAAAGAATATGATGCAATCATGAAAAAATGTTCGCCAGGTACTGAGAGGATAAAAGGATATACAATATGATCCAATGTTTTAAATATATAATATGCACATTGTTAAGGATATACTCCAAAACATAAACAATAATCACCACTGGGTGGATGGGCAGAGAAAGAAGCTATGGGCAAGGCCATCTCTCTTCCCCCAAACACCTTACCTGTCCAATATCTCTGCAACTTGCCAGTGGAAATTAACTAATATAAGTTTAGCAACTGAATGAGATACCTAGAAAGAAGAAAGAAAAAAAATCAAATTACAACTGTAGTTTCTTTCAGAGAACTCCACTTTTTGAGAAGTGCATACATTTATGTCTACAGCAGGCCCAGGCTTGATTTCCAAATTCTTCCTCTTGGTTCTCTGCTTCATCTTTTAAGTTCAGACTCTTATAATCCTAGTGATAATCTTAGTATAATCTTTCCTGAATCTCTTTCACTTTTCTTTGTTTTCATTAATGACACTTCCAAGAAATTAGTTTGAGTTGAAACTGAAGTAAAACCACCCTGTTACAATAACAATCCAGCATCCAATTGAAGAAAAGAGCTGTGTGTTCCCTAATGTGGCCTATGTTCCCTCAAGCTGCTGAAGGAGGGCCACACATGGGAAGTGCACCTCTAGTTAGGCCTGTTAGTCTCAGAAAATCTCCAGGCTTGGACTTCTTGTATAAATCCAGCAAATCAAAACATCCCTGCTTAAAACCTCCAAATTCCTGGTAACCAATGAGCCCTGATTGCAAGTATGATTTAAAAGCCTATGGACAGGAGCACCTAGCTTGCAGGGGAGCCTGCTTCTCCCTCTCCCGCTGCCTGCCGCTCCCCCTGCTTATTCTCTCTGTCAAAAAAAAAAAAAAAAAAAAGCCTATGGACAGCTTTTGTGGCCCCTACATTTTAAAGCACACTGGCTGTGGCTATCAAAAAGCCTCAGAAGGTGCTCTGAGCTAGGAAATCTACTTCTGTAAATTTTTCTAAGGAAATCATAGAGGATATGTGTACCCGCAGTGCTTTACAAGAGTAAAAAATTAAAAATTACTAAATGTCCAACAAAAAGGAACTAGGTAAATAATATATGATAGGTCTATGCAATGATTTAGTATGCAGTCATTGAAAAGGATGTTACAGAAATAAGTTTATTGACATAGAAAGTTCACATTCTAATGTTAGGCTAAAGAAGCCAGAAGTAAGATAGCATGTACATGTTATAGCCACAATATGTTGTTAAAAGGGAAAGAAGACTAGGGCGCCTGGGTGGCTCACAGTCAGTTAAGCGTCTGAACTCTTGATTACAGCTCAGGTCACGATTTCATGATTGTAAGATAGAGCCCTGCGTTGGGCTCTGTGCTGACTGGAGAGCCTGCTTGGGATTCTCTCTCTCTCCCTCTGCCCCTCTGGGGCTCCCGCACAGGCATGCTCTCTCTCTCTCTTAAAAAGGGTGGAGTGGAGATGGGAAGCAGATTAGGCAGACTCGTTACAAAAAGGAACACCCTGAAGTTGTCAAGACTAGGGCAGAACCACAGAAGACAGGGTTGTGTTTGGAGGTCTAGATCAGGCTTCCTAGGGAGAGCACTACATAGCACGAGGGTGCTACTGAATCAAGGAGAAACAAGGAGCACACTTCAGGCCAGGGAGCCAAGAGAACACACAGAACCTTGGTACTCTGCCCACTGGACTGAGTCTTTAAACAGGAACTACCAAGGAACTATAAGGCAGCTGGTCCACAGATAAGAACTGCAGGCGGAAAGACACAGTGACCAACATGTAATCCCTGCCCCTAGAGCTCAAGTTACTCCTGAGACAGGTGCACACTTACTAAACAAGGGCATGTCCCAGTGCATAATCAGTGTCAAAGGCTGTGCAGTGAGTGAATGCTTTTTATCCTACAGCCCAGGTACATCTGGAGAAAACCAAGGTCTCAAGATAACACATTTCACTAAGGGTGGGGGTCCCCACATCCCTTCCATGCAAGGTAACAGCCATCTGACTCATACACGTTGCTGTAGTATTTTCCTCTTGAGGACCATGGAGACTTTAGGTCTAGGATTCCTGAATTGTAACTGACATTTCTTCTAACTGTTGCCCTAACAAAACTATTTATCCACAGCAAACCACTATCACAAAATGAAAACAGAGACAAAACATATGGTTTAAAGTGAAATAACTGCTTTGAATATAGCTTCTGACTACAGTTTTTGTTTTTTTTTAATCTGATAGTGATACTGTTTTGGATGACCTCCTCACTGGAGCCTTTTCTATCACCTCTTACCTAATGGGGTCCAATCAGCCCTACACCATTTTCTGTCCTGACTTCTAAATGGCTTGGCATGCAGTGGCTATTAGGTCCTGACAAGGCACTAAACCACCCGGGAAACCAGAGGAGTCCTGACCATGTCCAGAAGCCACCCCCCACCGCCCCCCTTCCTCACCACAGATGGCTTAGGTGGAGGCTGTGAGCTAAAAACAGGGGTCAGGCTGCTTTTCACAGATCCACAGAGCCTAGAACTGGACTGGAGAGAGCGTGACCCCTCAACAGATGCCAATCATTAAGTGACATCCTGTCTTAATCTGTGGATTTTCAAAATCGAACTCCACAACTTTTCTTAGGAAAAAGAATTTTACCACCCTATCTAGTCTGGTCCTTTGATTTGAACAGCACTTAACAGCAGCAACAAATCCTCAGAATTTGCACACCACATGCAGCCCACCTATGGAAAACATGGCCCTCTGTTGAAACAGAAATTTTATTAATGACTGCAAGTCCACTAATGACCAACTCAGAATATCCCAGCAGAGTTGAGTTTTGGTGAGAAGAGATTATGTGAAAAGAGGATACGTCTAGCACTTTATGAAACTGACAGTGGAGTATATGAATCTCTTCTTTCAGTGCCGACAGCCAAGAATACAGCAATAAATACAAGAAGCACACATGTGTCAGCTATATGCACCTCCCACCAGCCTTCTGCAGGAAGTGCTACTGTGATCTCCACATCACAGATGGAGGTGTGAAAATGGCCCATATTATGTCCACAGTATATCATAGAAAATCAGGGACTTTCCCTCAGTAATCCATTATAAACCTAAAGGAACTCAGAGACCATTAATTTAAGCAAAATGCAGTGTGACTGTGCCTTGCCCTGTAATGGACACCAGGGAATCTACAGGGAAGTCAGGTTCCAAAAGGTTCTCTGGCAGAAAGAGCACAGGGGTAGAGGAAGAGTACCTAGAAGAATTTATGCTAAAAAAGTAGTCCCATGGGATGCCTGGGTGGCTCAGTTGGTTAAGTGTCTGCCTTCAGCTCAGATCATGATCTAAGGGTCCTGGGATGGAGTCCCCATTGGGCTCCTTGCTCAGTGGGGAGCCTGCTTCTCCCACTTCCTCTGCCCCTCCCCGTGCTCTCTGAAAAATAGATAAAATCTTTTTAAAAAATTAATTTAAAAAAAAAGTAGTAGTCCCAGCAGGGAGGCCACCTCATCCTTGATCTTGGGTCACATGAGAGAACTGGGGACGCCTGGGTGGCTCAGTCGGTTGAGCGTCTGCGTTCAGCTTGGGTCAAGATCCCAGGGTTCTGGGATTGAGTCCTGCATCGGGCTCCCTGCTCAGTGGAAGTCTGCTTCTCTCTCTGCCCCACCCCCTCCCCCTACTCGTGCTATCACATAAGCTCTCTCTCTCGCAAAAATAAATCTTTTTTTTTTTTTTTAAAGATTTTATTTGTCAGAGAGAGAGAGTGTGAGACACAGCAAGCACAAGCAGGGGGACTGGCAGGCAGAGGGAGAAGCAGGCTCGCCGCTGAGCAGGGAGCCTGATGCGGGACTCCATCCCAGGACTCTGGGATCATGACCTGAGCTGAAGGCAGATGCTTAATCAACTAAGCCACCAAGGCATCCCAAATAAAATATTAAAAAAAAACCAAACAAAAACAAACCGAGAGAGAACTTGACTGCACACATGTCCCAGCAGTATCTCAGAGAAAGCAAGAACAGTGATTTGGGGGCAGAAAAGGAAGTGGGAGGGGGTGCAGGGGCACCAACATTTAAGCCATCTTCTACAAGAGGGCCAGGACAAACCTTGGAGATGAATCTTTCTCAGAGTGCAAACAGCTGAATTCTCTAAAGAAAGAATTCCCTGAGTATTCTCACCATTACTGTTTAATGCTCAGAGCTCAGCAATCCATTCTGAAATCTATTACAGTTGATAGTTCACAACTGGGGAGAGTCTTCCATTCCTCTCTCTGTTTTCAATTGTGGAGAACAGAATCTTTTAGAGCAGAATCAAGATGAGCCCTTGCTGGACAGTTCTGATCAAGAAATTAACAACCTATCAGTACTATTGTCTGAACCCCTCTACTCCATATCCCTCAGGATTACCTTCCTGAAACCCTGATGTAAAAGTAATAATACTAAACAGCTCTTACAGAGCTCTCACATCTTGCCGGGATCAGTTCCCACCCTGCTTAAAACCCATCACTGTTTTCCAGTACTGAGGAGACAAACCTTAAGCTCTTAGTAAGAGTCATCAGGACCACTATGCCCTGGAGTCCAGCAACAGACCAAGTGATTCTAGCACCCCCACACACCTTACTAACTATTCTCTACCAAGGATGCCCTTTTTTGTAGCATATACTTGGAAATTAAAGAACATACTTCTGTAGAACCTGTGTGTCACAGGAGAAATCACAAGAGAAATTAGAAAATGTTTTGAGCTGAATGATAATGAAAATACCACAGAATAAAACTTGGTGAGATGCTAACATGATGCCAGAGGGAAATTTACAACTGTAAATGTTTATACTAGGAAAAAAATCTATAAATCAATGACATAAAGTCCCCTTAAGAAACTAGAAAAAGACCATATAAATAAATCTTTTAAAAATGGGGGGGGGGCGCGTGCCTGGGTTCAGTCGGTTAAGCATCCGACTCTTGGTTTCAGCTCAGGTCATGATCTCAGGATCAAGCCACATGTTGGGTTCTGCACTCAGCAAGGAGTCTGCTTGAGGATTCTCTCCTTCTGCCGCCCCACCAACCGTCCCTCTGCTGGTGTGAGAGCGCGCTTGCACGCACGCGCTCCCTCTCTCTCTCTCATATAAATAAATAAATCTTAAAAAAAAACTAGGGGTGCCTGGGTGGCTCAGTCATTAAGCGTCTGCCTTCAGCTCAGGTCATGGTCCCAGGATCCTGGGATCGAGCCCCGCATCGGGCTCTCTGCTCGGCAGGAAGCCTGCTTCTCCCTCTCCCACTC